CACTGCAGATCTCAACTAAGCTGAGGCCTCTTAACACGGCATTTTTTCTTATCTTATAGCTTATCTTTTCACTTTTGTCTATAACATTACTGCATGAACAGTTTACTCTGCTATTAAAATAAAAAGTCCGTTTGAAAATTCCTGTACCATTCTCAGTCTCGATTCCTCCAGGAAATTGCTAACATGAATTTATTTTCTTAATATAAAGATGTATTTTTGCTGTGTTGATGTTAGCAAAAATAGATTACTTTTAAAAAACGTTATTATATTGAATTATAATTATTATATTGAAACTGGTTCTGCCACTCTTACCTAAAGTAATACATTTAAATGTATTTTGAAGTAATCACATACAATACAAAGGAGTGGGAAAAGTGTTCCCCTCCCCTTTGTCTTGCAGCAGCAACATCCTAGTAGAAAAGGCTCCGAAAAGCCTGGGAGAGGAAAGTGCGGAGAGGTCTTGTGGGCTAATACGACATGCGTCATAAGGTTCTCAGAGCACCAGCTGCTGCTTTTATGTTCAAAATGAGGATTATACTTGAATTTGCATCATTACTGCACAAGAGACCAAAGGAACAATATAAAAATAAATAGGCTCTTGTGGATCCATGAGAAACAGGGACTTAATGTATAGGCCACTTTCTTATGTAGAGCTGCCAGTGTCCCTTTTTCCTCCTGCTTTTGGTATCAAGGGAACTCCAGCTGTTGCTGTCAGATGAAAGAATATCCTGTGGTGTGAAAGAGGAACTGATGGAATCATCTGCCGCCCCTTGTTCTCATGGCGGGCTATGCGTTTGGAAGGTGTGCAATTACTTCACAACCTGTGGCTTTTGCTGTCCCCAACAAACCTTACCAGGACTCTTCTCCCAGACCAAGTTGTACCACCGATAACTCTTTCTCTCATGGCCACATTTCTATTTCAGCCCATGCTCCACCTCAGCTTTCTGAATTTTACCGGGTGAAGGCAACATACGTTGTAAATAATTTTGATGTGCACAAAACATGAAGCATTAACATTTTCACTAGAGTGGATCAACTCTGAAGCTGCTCCATGGAGAGATAATAATTCACAAAGAAGCTATTGCTGACCACAAGAAAGATGAAGACATATTTAGTAAGTCTACTCATGAAAAGAATGAAAACACAGCAGAAAATAAATAGAACAGCTTGCATAATATTTAGTCTCCTACACTGTTTACAGAATTTGCTTCATGATACGTATACAAGAATAAAGATTATCATAGCCTATTCTGTAAATGCAGTGGGCAGTAAATCTAGCAAGTCAAACTATTTAGAAAGGCTCCAAAGTGGAAAAGCCTCCGGAGCACAAAACACAGCACGGGGGCGAGGGGGTGGGGATGTCCAAGGGCTTCACTGATCACCCTTCCATTATCTTAAAGAGCAAAGAAGAGGCGATGTCTTTTCTGGCCTCTTCAAAGACCCCTGGCTGGGTCCTTCAAATGCTAGTGGCAATCCCTGAGGTGGTTTCTGAGGTGATTGTAATGACTTTCTCATTCATATTTAATTTCCTTGCCCTTTTAAACATCATCACAATCTATGCATAACTTTCTTAAGATACTCAGACGCATGTAAAACATTGAACTGCACACAACCTGCAAATTCTCCTGTGAATTTTTGTCAGATCACTAGGATAGCAGGGGTTAAGTTTTCCTGACTTTAATAACTTTGTTCAGTGTGGCCAGATATATTAAGTGTCACAGTGCCTCACTTTCTTCTGTACAAGACTAGTCACTGAATCAGTTCATCATTAAGCAAATATGTGAACTCAATTAGATCTCAATACTTTAACAGTACCTGTAGGCACTGTGGGAAATCCAGAAGTGAATCTTCCTTGCAAAACCAATGAATCATCTAATTCACGTGCGACTTGTGCATTCATAGATGTGAACCTGTACTTTTAATCTGTGATCAAACACAGTATCAACAATCATAATTGTAACCAATGTTGAAAGTTCAATTAAGGCTTTTTGTTTGTTTGTTCCTATCATCTCTGAAGTGTTTTTTTCAAGTGATAGTCTGAACTTTTCCAAAGGGTAAGGAATCTGCTAGTTCCTCCAACCAGGAAACTCCAACAGAGTTGAAAACAAACTCAATTACAGAGTTTTTGGCTTCCAGAATTATTAACATGAGGAATGACACGAGGTCTGCAGCTGACAAATTTGAACGTGCCACAGGCTGGACAAGAAGTCCAGGAATAACGCCTAAGCATCTCCATGCCGGAGGTGTACCTGGACCGTTGGCAGGTGTGCTCCACAGCATACCCCTCGCTGTGGTTCTGATTTTTCGTCTCTTTTCCGGTCCACTCATCTTTCCTTCCAATGGAGACTACAACGTGGGGGCAGCAAGGTAGACAGGGATGGTCTCTACCCAAGTCCTGGACCCAACATGAAGTCAGGACAGTTTGGGACATGGATGCTGATCCAGGAACTGGGAAGTACTCCCAGTCATGGAAAATGACATTTTGAGTCAAGCTAAAAATAACACTAAGCATTTTTATTCCTTGCAATGATTACACTATTTTAATTCAGTCTGAGAAACACGAGCTTCTTATTGTCAGCTCACGGTAAGGTAAAAAAAGCAGCTTTATTTTTGGATGTGCAACCTAATGTACAATGCAGAACATAATCTACGATGTGGAACATTATGTACATTGTGCATTATGTTCCAGGAGATGCTGTTTTTTAAACCACCTGGAGCTTAAACACAGAGCTAGGAAATAGGCACATTCATTCAAAAATCATTTGAAGCTGTCTTTGCAAACCGAACAGTTGCAAATGCACTAAAAAAAAAAAAAAATCTCTTGATTTGACACTAATTATCTCCTCTTTGTGAAGCTAAAACTGAGCTCTGTAACAGCAGAGCATCTCACAGTCCGGGCTCAACGCAGAACAGTGTGTGCTTGTTGATCTCCTCTCTGCACGTTATACTGTGCTCCTGAGCCCAGCATGTGCATCCCTGGTTTGAAGATGTAACACTCCGCTTCATTCTACAGATGCTAATTACAGTCCTTGGCTATTAAACAACGCGCTGCCCCGCTCGGCAGCGTTCTCCTCGGAGCTGAGGCGGAGCGAGAAACACGAGTAAGCACCCAGCGGGGCTTGTGTGAGCCCCATCCCGCCCGACGACCGCTCTGCAGCACGCCCCGTGCGGGCAGGGCCCGGCGCCGCCGGCACCGGGCCCCGCGGT